GGTTAGCCGCAGCAGCTAGCATGCTAAGCAACGGGAGGTAACTGTTCATGTTATGGGGGTTAGCCGTAACAGCTAGTATGCTAAGCAACGGGGGGTAACTGTTCCCGTTATGGGGGTTAGCCGTAAAAGCTAGCATGCTAAGCAACGGGAGGTAACTGTTCCCGTTATGGGGGTTAGCCGTAACAGCTAGCATGCTAAGCAACGGGAGGTAACTGTTCTCGTTAGGGGGTTAGCCACAGCATCTAGCATGCTAAGCTACGGGAGCTAACTGTTCCCGTTAGGGGGTTAGCCGCAGCAGCTAGCATGCAACAAAGTTGTCCATGAAGAATGAACAGATTTCCCTGCTGAGGTGAACTTTGCCAGCCTAACGAAGCCGCTTGCCGCACAGTGCTCAGCAGCTCCGGGTGTTCCGGAGAGCGGCTCCGTACCCCAGCAGGGAGGAGAGGACGGACGACCTGAAGGATGCTCTGGAGAGGTACCAGCCGGGCTGTCCGCGGGGTCTGGGGGCTGAAAGCTACGCTAAGAACGGGAAGCTACACACTGGATGGGCGCTGCCAGTCCGAGCCCTGATGGCTTCTTAATTACTGTGTATTCAACTGGTTTTATGTTCAGTTGTAACTCTCATTGGGTTGAACTTTGAGTCAAATTAACTCGTGAATTTACATCAAGTACAGAGAATTCCTAGAGGCCAAATACTAGTTTAGCTTTTGAAAGTGGTTCTGAGCAATAGTTTTACAGCTTCCTGAAGTTTGTCCCTGGACATTTAGCTTTAATTCTTTCATTTTAAGTCCAGGGTTTCAAACTTCTGAAGGTTTTCAGCTGTCATGTTGTGTTCCTCCTCCCACATAACAACATGACCCCCAATTTCCCTGCTTTGCTTTCAGTTATGAGGAGTTGGAACAGATTCAGAACTTCAGCAGCACTGTGAAGTTTGACGCATTCAAGCATCAGCCGGCCGGTGAGTCCACGCCAGACATCCTCAGGAACCAGATATGCTTGTTCTCATTTACACCCAGCCGTGGATGTCTAACCTGCTCTTTAACATTTGCTCTCCTCTCGGCTTGTCTGATCTTTTCCTGTCCTGAAACCGGCAGCCATTCCTGACGCCTGCACGCCGGCCGACCGGCACCAAGCACTTTATCAGAAGTTCTACAGACAGGTGCTGGAGGAGAGGAAGCCCCCCGACTGCGTGGTGCTCTCGGTCACCAACGAGTTCCTGTGAGTACCCAGTTCTGACCCGGACCCGGTCCAGGAGCTCTGGCTGGCTGTGCTGGTGTTTTATGCTGCTTAAGTCAGTGGGACAGGTTTTTAGCTCTGGATGTCCATGTGCTCAGACAGCAAAGAATTCCCCTTTTTCACAAAACCCGTTTGCTGCCACCTGAAGCAGGAAAGTACAGCAAACACTTCTCAGGTCATCAGCACGTAGAAAACATAAGGCCCATCTTCACTGAGGACTAAAAGAGTTCCCCGGGAGACGTTTCAGCCCAGAGCCCCCCCCAACCCCCACCTGCCCTGAAGCTGGGCGTCACTTATTGTAGGTTTGATGTCAACAGTAACAGAGAGAATGAAACTATAACAACAAAACTCAAAACTGGACTTTTTAAAATGCACAAAGACACAAAAGCCTGATCAAAGTCATACACCCAGATAACACACCGTTATTAAATGCTCCACTTTAAAAGACAAAACAGGAACATCATACACGATTTTCTTTCTTTTGTCTCAAACCAAAAGTAAAAAAAACAGACTGCATTTCACTGCTCCAATAAATTCCTGATTTTATAATCCCAGCCTCAGCCATTTAAAGATTAAAGCCCTCAAATTAGCACAGTTCAGTTCATTCAACTCACTGCATAGCTTTTAAAACTCATAACATCAACACAAAACAAGCAAATCACAGTTTTATCGACCACCATTTATCTTTAATTTTTAAAATGAAAAAATATGTAGTTTGAATAGTTAGTTTTGTCCTCTGATTCTTTATTTTGACGTTCATACGCACAAAGACGACCCTCTCAGCTCTCTCCATGAAAATGGCAGTATTCACTGACAATAGGGCTCAAATGTGCACAGTTCCACCCAGTTTCTGAGCAAGTTCTTGCATATTAAACACTTTGATTGATCACATCCTGTTTTAAAGTCCTTTTGGGATCTCACAGGAATAAATCTGACACAAGCACATGAAAACATGTTTAATGTAGACATTTAAAACCCGGTGAAGTCGGGTGCTAATTAAAGGCCCAGCAGACCAGAGATCAGCTGTTAATTTGGGCCTCATTTGAAACTCCGATGGCTGCATTATCAGCTAACGGCTTCGCTAACCGACACCTTTGCACAAACTACTTTTTGACCACCTGCCGTCAGTTTT